CGCAGGGCGTGCGCGCGCCGGGCGCGCGCGCGCCTGCGCGCGCCTGGCGCGCGCAGGCCCTTTCACGCTCGCTCAGACGAGTAAGCGTTAATATTTCAAAAGACAATGAATGTCAGCCAGCAGTTTCTCCATTACTCTCCCTAAGGGGATTGCCTGTAATTCGGTTGAGATCGAACCGAGATGTGCATGCTCAGCTACCAATGTTGATGTGGTCATGGCGTCTATTCTTCTCGAATAGATGGTGCAGTGCAGAGCGATTGTACTTTGGGAGGCAAGAGAGCAAACCTTGCAACTATCATACGTCCGGAGCGCGATAGCTGACATTGCAATTTCTTCAGGAATCTAAGATATATGTCTTATATTCCTGAAGAAAGGTTGGTCGAATATTTTTCATAGACCACACTCGAGTTTGAGCCGTTCGAGTCAGTCTTAGGGTTCGGGTTTAAGGGCTTAGGGTACAGAACTCTTAGGGTTTAGAGTCAAGGGGTGTAAGGTTTGGGTCGGGCAATTGTTCAAGGTTTAGAGTTTCGACTTTAGCAGTCGGCCTTACTGTGGTGAGCCTTGCAAGTTCGACGGTTGTACCACTTAAGTGCTGGGATTGAGCGGTGTATCCCTTCAGTGTTCTGGTCAGGGCATTTGGGCTTGTCCTGTTGGAGTCAGGGTTCGAGGCGGTTAGGTCCGTGTTCCAAGTTTAATTTACAACTGTTTTTGCTCTAGACAGTGAGTGGTTTTGAGTTTAGGGCCTAGCTTCCTCGAGTTCTGGTGCAGGGAACGGTTTAGAGTTCAGCGCTTTAGGCTGGGGTGGCCGGGTTTTGGGTTTTCAGGGTTGGGGCCAATTAAAGCTTCATATTGGGACGAAGTGCGATATAAGTTTGCAAATCTACGCGTCGTCCGGGCGGTATGTTCAGGTAGTGTAATTCGGGCTGATGCTTTTGTGGAGGTCGATAAACAGCACCAAGCCAAACTCTATGCCAGTTACAAATTGCCTCCCTGAATATACATCTCAAACTTTGGTCTAGTTCTCGAATTCGGGTATCCCCATGCCTCGCTCAAACTCGTAGCAGTAGCTTGCTGCTTCAGGGATCAGGAGTCAAGTATGGAGCACTGAAATCCCCAAACTCATGAAATCACGAGCAGCGTAAAGTCTTTGGGGTTACTTGTGGGGTTTCTCGTGTTTGGGTAGCTGTTTTTTTCACCAATGTTTGACACTAGCTCCAGGGCCTCTAACGCACATCCCACGAAACAACTCCGAGCCCGAAGCCTTTCGAAACCCCTCGACGCAGACGAGTTGCTTTAAGAGCTGCCGGACATACCACTTGGAAACTTGCTCTACTATGTTACTATGTGTAGAAGAAATCACGGGCCAATGTTCCGCACCTATAATCGTGAGTCACTGTCGTCCTCGTTTTTTTGCGTGAGCACTCAGAAAACGTCTCCGAACTCCAGCAGCGCTCTGTAGCGGTTGCACGTGACTTTATCCATAGTGAACGGATGTGTCGAAGATGCAATGTTGCCGATCTGCTTCATCAAGTCCTCGTCTTGATAGCAGTGCTCCCACCTGCGACCAGGGATGAAGATAAGCGATTTTCCCCTCGAGTTGATTGCTAGATTTCTCCTATTGGTGTCGCAATACCGACTACGTTATGTTCAACGACAACCCCCCAACCCTGTCGCGCTTACCCACTCGAAAATTCCTGAAAATTTGAAGGCTTAACCCCACTTGCTATTTCAGCGAGCCTCGGGTTTCGGGAAGTTCGTTTCACGTACTGCAGCAGGTGAAGGAAGCTGTGAAACTTTGGCACGATCTTCCAGTTTCTTTTATGTTGCGGAATATTTTCCACGGCCAAAAATTGGTACAGCAAAAGAAAAGACAGTCCCAAGTACACAGCCTCATCCTTCACCTGCCTGGTCAAAAACGGACCACTTCGATCGAAGAGCCATTGCGTCTTTGCCAGTGCATAGGACAACCTCAGTCGGTTGCCGCTGTTGGGTACATTTCGGTCTTCATCGCAAAGAAAAGCATACACCCAGTATATCAGCATCTTCACGGTATAAGCTTTGTAGCATGAATGCAACTCCGGATAGTATCCCCATTGTTCGCGCCCAAACCGCGTCAAGTTGAAACGGTGACCACAACCAGCCACCTTGGTCCTGCGGCACCAAGCTTTGTAGTGTTTCCAGACACGGTTCTCCAGCTCGAAGCCCAAGTCTTGTAGCCTAATGCCGTCCCCGAGCTTTGCTTCGACATGTGCACACACCAGCCCTGGTACCACGAAGCAGGCCACACCCTGATGCAAAACATGTAGAAGATCCTTCTGGTGTTCAGTTTGGTTTGAAAAACGCAACGAACAAAGACTAATATCGAAACAAAAGCCCGGGAACATACATCACAAAGCTTCTTTGACATCACACGATCATACAAGCCTTACCGGCTCCTCCAGGTTTCTGTCCTTCGTCCAACCGGGAACGTTCAACCAGCTCGAATGGAACTCCGGCGGGGTCATGACAAGGTACTGCGCATGCGTGAAACTCACATCCAAGTAAGCTGCGTCGGGCGAGAAATTGCGATAGTTGAAGGCGTTGTTTGACTTGCACGCAGGACAATGCTCACAAATGTTAATGTGGTTGTAGCTCCGCTGCAATTTGTGTATCAACACGCGTGCTTCCCAATCTCCTTTGAACGCGCTGAAGGCACACTTGTAACCCCCAGCAAACTCAAGGTTGGCAAGCCGTTCTTCTCGAGAACCGACTGGCCAGGATTGGCCATTGATGTCTTTGTCCGGATATTTCCCAGTCTGAAGAACACGTTGTATCCAACCCACCACCTCCCCGATCCGGTCGTGCGTCGACGGTTTCACGACAAGTGTTTCTCGCACAAGCAAAAGCAGGAGCTTGGAGGACAAGGAAGGGCCTTTCTTCAATGCACAGGAATACGAATATACCCAGCACTTCTGATGTTTGTAGACTCGCACACCATCGGCGTGCCAAAAAATTGGAAATGTCCTCGCAGGGTCCTTCAGGTCTAGAAGCTTTACGGATTCTTCATGACCCAGCCGAGTCCAATACTCATTGTTCATTTCCTGGACCTTCTCAGGGTTGGGATCGTTACATGCCCAATGAAAAAGCTTGTCATTACGATGTAGCCAGTTCAGCACATCCCACGGCCAGGTTATAGCAGTGTCACGAACCTCGTCCAACGCGGTCCCATCTTTCTCAGAAACACGCAAAGGGAGTCCCACCCAACCTTCCGGAATCTCAGCGATTGTTGAATACCACCTGCAAACTATGTTCCCGAAGCAACCCATACTATCTCATTTATTTCTGATAGTGCTACTTGCAAAAAAGACGACCGGGATCACACATAACAAACGACCCCAGAAACCTTTGGAAGCTTCGCTCTTCGTGTCCTTCGGAAAAGCCAGCCAGAGCAGTAGCCAGAGGGCATGTGCATCCGTCTTGAAGAAGGTCTTTTGCTTGTCGAACTCCGGCAGAAGCCGCCAGCTTCTAGGTTTGCGAATATGTTGTAACGGACGTGTTCGATTCGTATTAGGCATGATGGAATGATCAGCCGAGGCACTCCACTGCAAATTTCACGTAGAATTCGTTGAGCTGAATGGCTCGAAAAAGCCACCGTAGCCTGACCTCAAGGGTAACAACACCCGCAATCCACATCCTAAAAATCGTTCTTTATGCCAATCGCAAACAAACTCTTTATGTGCAGATGAGCATCCAGTCAGCTTCGGTGCACCCGTAGTTGCAGTATCACCGAAAAACCCACGGTTGCCTTGGTTTTGCTACTGCAGAGACACATGGTCAACAGCCCCCTCTCGCACAACCGAAAATTCGTATGCCATCCAAGTTACGTAGCCGTGCTTCCTCTGAACATAGCCCCCGCGACCGAGAGCGAGATCTCGCCCTGCGAGGGTTGACACGGCAGAATGCAAGGATCTACACTGGAGTACCATGCACACTGTGTATACTCACATGGACATCACAATGCACGACCTTTTTCTAAAAGCGGCACGGCTCGAAGCGAACACCCGTCGAAATGCTGTGAAACGCCACCGTCATACCGCGCTGCCACACCACACTGATCTACAAGTTGCGCCAACCACAACAACAATCGCAAATATTGAATCATCTGGCCGTGTAAATACTAACTGGGTTATCCGATGACAGTACATAGCAAGCAACTCTACAGTGCACACCATGCAGCAGCGCACAGACGTCCTAAGGCCACAGCTTCCACCAGAGATGTTGCAGCACTGTGTTTTTGCGTGCACGCACACGGCAATTGCGAAATTACACTCTATCATGCAGCCCTTTATACTGCCTACCTGTGGCTATCATTCCCGCGCAGTGATGCAAATCCAGTCGGTGTCACGTTCTACTCCTAGCTAGCCTTTCTTGCTCTTTGTCTTCTTGGTCGCATCATCCCCATCAACCGCTTTGGTCTTGTCGGGGTTTTTGCCTCCCTTCTCGCTTGCACGGATAAGGGCCTTTGCCAGCTCGATGCGCTCTTTTGCCTGCTCCTTGAGCTTGTTGATCTGGCACCAGGAACTAATGATGTAATTTATATGGCTGGAATCTCAATGCTTCTGGCCTCCTCCGTGACGTGCTTGTAGTGCTTGTTCTTGTCCTTCTTGGCCGACACCAGGTTCTGTAGCTGCCCAGCCTGAACAAGAACTAAAACTTCATTTGTCACTAGGATAACAAATCATGTAGGGCTAATGTGTATACAAGATGGCCTTCTCAGAAAAGCACTTCTCCAGTGCCAAGAGCTGGTCGATCAACGTTTGTGACAATTTCAGCGGCTTCAACTTGAAGGCATAGTCCCTGAACACGTGTTACAAAGGATAAACACATGTATGCATGGATCCTCACGAAGCTTCTCTAGACGCCTGCAGCAGTTCTTGTCCTTGAGCACAGTGGTCAGCAAGATCTTGGCCTTCTCCAGCGGGGTATCCGGCACCACCTCAATGGGTTCGAGCACAACCGGAATCAAAATGGCTTTGGCTTGAGCTTGCTCTGGTGTCCCGCCTTGTTGGCTTTGCTTGAGTCACTGGGGTTCTTCTTCCCTGGCTTGGTTTTCGGTGCACTGCTGGTTCCGCCGCCCGTCATCTGCAAAGCTTTCGTCATGGTGTCTTTCGATATCCCAGTGCCCAGAGCGAGCTGCTTCTTGGGGTCCAGCACACCTCCGGCCTTCGCGGGGGCATATGTAGTTTAATCAATAATCAACAGATGCTACACCACTGCAGAAAACAGTACCCGCCTGAGTGAAAGACCGCAAAATATTCTCGTCTATGGCCCCCGCTAGTTCCAACTTGGTAATCTTTTGAAGCTCGCGAATGTCATCGATGTTAATTTCGATGAATACATAGTACAGATAGTCGTCCGGTGACTCCGGATCGGCAATCGTCCTTATTGTTTCTGCAAACAAGAAAACGGAAGATTACTACACCTAAACTAGACAAACAAGCACACGGTTTCACAAGCCACATGATAACAAAGGACTGCCTGGCGACGAGCTCCCCGT